TGAGTCACATGAAAGCACTTCCAGGAAAAGCCACGCACTGGGTGCAGGGGTCTCCAGAAGCACCCTGTTTTCTGTCCTGCGTAGGGTTCGGCCATTCAGTGCTTTCACGGTTTCTATAAGACACAGCAGCAGCTTCCCCCAAATTTCCATTTCTTGGTGTTCAAACCAGCTCAAGTTGAATTATTTAAACTAAAGAATCTTAATAAGATTAAGACAAATAACTTGTCAGGGGAGGATTTAAGATTAAAGATTGGCTATCACAGATGAGGTCCCTTGAAATGAGAATTGGAGAATTATTTGGTTCCTTAGTGTGGTTACATTCAGATAAATCCTACCAAGGGGAATGCAGCTGAACTTGGCAAATTGTCTATCTTTACACACATTGGAAATTATATTTAAAACCAGAAGCCCGGTGTACAAACTTTGTGCAAGGGGCTCGGCCTTTGCAGCCTTGGCCCCTGCAGCCCCAGCTTCATCCAGAAGGAGGTCCAGAAGGTCATTCAACTGTCTGGACTAATTAGCATATTATGCTTTTATTATTATAGATAGAATAACTGTATTAGCCAGCTTCCAAAAGGCCCCCAATGATGCTTGCTTATTGACATTCACGTTCTTTTTAAAAAAGTATATTTTTTTTATTAATTTCAGAGAGGAAGAGAGATAGAAACATCAATGATGAGAGAGAATTATTGATCAGATGCCTCCTGCATGCCCTCTATTGGGTCTACAATCAGGGGGTGTACCCTGACTGAGAATTGAACTGGACTTGGGATGTTACGAAAGAATTTTTCTTCAAGATGGGGCTGGCTGGTGGCAGGAACCTCAGCTGCTTACCAGATGGGCATCTCCGATGGTCTTAGGAGACACTGCTAGCAGTTCTCAACCTGTGGGTCACAACCCACAGGCTGAGAACCGCTGCTGTAGAGCCTAAGACCATAGGAAAACACAGATATTTACATTACAATTCATTAACAGTAGAAAAATTACAGTTATGAAGTAGCAATGAAAATAATTTTATGGTTGGGGGTCACCACAATATGAGGAACTGCATTAAAGGGTCAGGGTATTAGAAAGGTTGAAAACCTCTGCCCTAGATGGTTTGCCTTTCTCTCCCCAGTAACATCTTTGAACCCATTTCCCTCTCTTTCATTCTGTTGCAGATACACTGGCCACCCTGATTTTTCTGGAACATTCCAGGCACACTCCTGCTTCAGGTACTTTGCATTTGTGGGTTTCTCTGCCTGAATCACCCTTTCCCCAGACATTCAAATTACTTGCTCCCTCACCTCCTTCAAGTCTTGGTTCAAACTTACCTTCTGATTGAAACCTTTCCTGGTAACTATATTTTAAGTTAAAATTCTTCACCTCACTTGACAATTTCGTCTCCTTCTGCTTTATTTTTTCTATAATCCTTATTAGTATTTAACATATTATATGTCTTACTTATCTATCTTCTTTATTTTTATATCTATGAAGGCGAGGATTTTTGTGGATTTGTGTATTATATCCTTAACGTCTAAAACAGTGCCTGGCACATGTACACAGGATGCTCTCAACAACTGTTTGCTAAGTGAATGAATAAATGATTTAATCTAGTTAGCTTAAAAACATGAAACTCATTGTATGGTTTCTTGCAGAAAAATTAGGAACTATGATAATCCTTAAGGAGGAATTAAGAATGACCATCTGGAAATATCAGGTATTTGCTATGTATCTTTCTTGACTGCTTTCCTCCATGCCCTTTGAGTTGTGAGGAATGGAAATCCACACTGGCTGCCCTAAACACGGGGCTATTATCAATGCCTCAGTAGATTCCAGAGAAACCTACAGAGTGTCCCTGGGCCTCAAGAGTCCTACACTCCACCAGACACCAAAACTGCGGTTTCTGGCTCTGTGGGGCCTTCAGATCTCCCTCCCAAGGAACCTCTGCTTCATCTGGTCACCTGTTCTAATCTTCTCTCTTTGAAGACAACTCTTCTTATTCATTCATTCATTTACACACGACACGGTACTCCTGTCTTCCTGGAGTTTCCATGATGTTTCATTTTCATTGGCTCCGTCTGTTATTGTCCCAATTCCAAGTTCCAAGAAGGCTGATTATCCCAGCTTGGCCCAGGCAGACTCATCTGGTGGGCAGGATCACAAGTCTGTTCATTTACTAGGGCTGTCATAAACTGGGTGGTTTAAACAACAGAAATCAACATCCCACAGTTCTGGAGGGGTAAGTCCAAGATCACTGTGTTAGTAGGGCTGGTTCTTCTGGTGACCTGGGGGACTCTTTGGCTTTCTTTGGCTTCTGCTGCATCACCCCAATCCCTGTCTTCACTTCCACACAGTGTTCCCTCTGTGTGTATGTTTGTGTCCAAATTCCTTTTTTTATTGGATTGGGGACCACTTGAATGACCTTATCTTAATTTCATCACCTGCAAAGATCCTATTTCCAAATAATGTCATAATCAAAGGTCTGAGAGTTAGGATTGCAACATCTTTTGGGGTACCACAATTCAACCCATGACATTCACAGTGAAATAGTCAATAGATTTGTGCCCATAAATGGCTGCAAGTAGTAGGAGCAATTATATTTGTTTGGTACCAACATTTTCTTCTATGTAAATAAATATAACTTTTCTTGCAAAAATGGAAACATTCTGCATAATTTTCCTTTAACAATACATTGTGAAATTTTTCTCATGTCAATAGCACATTTTATCTTTTTCTTAATGGCTATGTAGTGTTACTAGTATATTATGCAAATATATTATAATTTATTTAAGCAATGTCTTGTTAGATTTTTTTTTCATTTTTTGTTATTTTGTACAATACTGTCTCTAAATCTTTGAGGACATTAATAATTATTTCTTTAGGATAATTTCCTGGAAGCAGAATTAGTGGTTCAAAGAATATGGCATTTTAAAAGCTTTTGATATATATTGTCGAGTTGATTTTCAGGATGTTGTTGAGAATGCATGACTCCCAACATCTTTGCCAGTACCCAATAGAGTATTCGTGGTCAGCCAAAGTCAAAGTGATTACAAAATATTTTTTATTTCTATTCTTGGACTAAGATTGAATTTTTTACACATATTTATTAGTCATATGAATTTCTTCTTTGGAGGAATTGTCCATTCATTTGCTTTGCTTAGTTTAGTACAGAACTTATTTTTTTCTTATTGACTTGTATCAATTTTCTACCTTAGAGATATTAATCTAGAATATGTTGTAGCTATTTTCCTATGGCTTCATTTTAATTATAATGCTTTAGAAATACAGGCATTTGCACTCTATCAAAAATTTCCTTTGTGTATTTTCCAATACTTTCATGCTTAGAGAGTTTTTCCATTTATTGAGGGAATAGACAATCATGTCTAGTTCTTATTTTCCCCCCAATGGCTTATATATTACATTTAAAGTGTTGTTCTAATCACCTCTGGTAGATGAAGTATGGCTGCAAATTCTTTGCTATTCTTACATTTGAGAGGTAGAGTCTAATTATTTTTTTCTCGAACCTGGCTTTGGAGAATCTCTTAAACATGGTTTAAATGATATCTTAGGAATTCGGAAGCTGGGTATAGCACTGAGTCTCCATGTACAAAGTCTGACTACCTTAAGCCGCCATGCTGCAGAGGTTATGCGCAAGCATTTAACCATTCCAGCTGAGCCCAGAATTCTAGCCATTTGTACCAATGCAAACAGAGTATCATTAAGTAACCTCTGTCAACACTAAATGGAGCAAAAGGTGAATGGAGCCCAAGATCTTGACCCATAAACTCATGATACATAATGAATACCAGTGTTGTTTTAAGACATTAAATTATAGAGTAGTGTTATGTAGCAATAGATTACCAGAACATTCTGTCTTTCCTAAAGTATTATAACAGAAGCAGAGAGCTACAGGAAAAAGTACTGGAGGTGCAGGAAAACGGAAGAGGCAAGAGCTTCAACAATAATATTCTCATCGATTAGTAATGACTGATGATATTAAAAGTAGCAAGGTTTACAGTTGACATGTACTTGAAGCAGAAAAATAAAAGGCAAGTCAATTCTATTCCTGCACATTTTGAGAAAAAGCTTTTTTTAAAATAATTGAAATCCACCGAGTGTTTTTAATGTACCATATACAGCATGAAGCTCTTGACACAGATTTTTCTCATTTAGTCCTCAACAGATTTCTTGTGGAGCTGGGGTAGCTGCCATGACCAGAGGAGAAAAGGAAGGTATTCAGAGATTCAGTTGTGGCCATGGCCACGGAGCCAGAACTAGGCTTTGAATCCTTGTGTCTGAGCCTGCACACTGGACCACAGGACTTGCTTTTTTTCAGGGTGATGCTCTGATATCACTTGCAAAAAGTTCCCTTTTGCCAGGGAACAGGTCTGGATGCCCTATCCCCCATCCTTCCCATTTAGATGCCTCTAAGTCTGTTACATCAGAGGACTGAGCCAGACACTCTCCAGCCTCTCTTCCAGATCTTGTAAAGCTGTGGTTCCTAAAATTGAGCCAAGGGCCTGGAAACATGGATGATGGCCATGAAAACCAGTGGTCCCTCTGAGCCCAGGATTCAGGTGCCTTTTCCTACCTGGGGTCCTGGGAGGGCTGAGGTAGAGAGTCATGTGGATAAGAAGGTCCTGAGGGAAGGGATCCTGTCTAATTCATTCCTGTGTCCATAGAGCCCAACACAATGCCGGGCCCCACAGGATGTGGCTGGTGCTGTAAAAGAAAGTGCGTCACATCACAGTGGCCTGCGCTGAGACCCCAGCCCCCTGAGACCTTCAAACCATGTCAGAGAGCTTCCTGGAGATCTGCTTTACCCATATCCAGGAACAAGTCCGTGAGGTTATTTCACTCTGAGCCACTGTTCTGGCCATTGACCCTGACGCTATTCCTACTAGATTCAGTTGCGGCGTGGTGGTCACTCATTCTACTTTTCTGGTTTCAAGAAGGGGATGGTTCCTTCAGCTGCTACAGCATCAAAGAGACAGTCTTTGACTCTTAAGGAGAATTTTTTATTTTGGCTGGGCACAGTGAACTTTATTGATGGTGCACGACAAAGTAGGGCTCCCTATACCTCTCCCCTTCTTCAGGGGGTCTGGGATGGAAACAGTGGTCAGGAGATTCTCAGTATGTTGGGGAATTGATCTGGGACAAGGACTCCCCAGGGCAGAGGTTCTTCTTCCTCTTGCTGGGACTGGTGGTCCAGGGTGCTCTTACTCCTTCAAGTGAGCCCCAGCCTTCTCCATGGCAGTGAAGATGCCAGAGGACTCCTCAACATACTCACCACCAGCTTCACCCCATTTGATGTTGGCGGGATCTTGCTCCTGGAAGATGGAGATGGGCTTTCCATTGATTACAAGCTTCTCATTCTCAGCCTTGACTGTGCCTTTGAACTTACCCTGAGTAGAATCACACTGGAACATGTAGACCATGTAGTTGAGGTCAATGAAGAGGTTATTGATGGCGACAATACCCACTTTGCCAGAGTTAAAAGCAGCCCTGGTGACCAGGAGCCCAAAGTGGCCAAATCCGTTCACTCCGACCTTCATCATAGTGTCTCCGGGTTGTGGCTGCTGGCACAGGCTGTCTGATGAACAGGAGGAGCAGAGAGCCTTAAGGAGACTTTTCTCTAAGTCTGAGATTAATTAAAGAAATTATAAAAATTCACAAATATTAAAATCTCTTGTTCTGTATCAGGTGCATCCTCCAGATCTGTTTACTTGCCTGGCTGCTGGCTTACCTAGGTTGGCAAAGGGCAGTCCTCCCTCTGCCCCTGCAGGCATTCACACTACAAATATCCCAGAGCTGTTCTTGGCTTTGGGGCACCAATAGGACAATATCCTACTCCAGAGAGAACAAATATTTTTTTGTTTTCCAATGTACATTCTTCTTCTTCTATCCTTGTAGCTAACATCCAATTAAATTTGTGCCAGGGTGATTGACAATGGGAATGTCCAAATGCTTTAAGGACAAGCCCTCCCTCACCCTTTCTCCCCACCAGGTATGTCTGGCCCAGATAAGACAATCACAGAATGGTGGGACATGAATTCATTCCTTCAGTTGAGTTCTTTAGTCCTGTCCACTAGCACTTTTCTAGTGAATGAATAAATTATCTGGCCCAATTGAGGTACCCACCTTGATTCCAACCCATAAGGCCTACACAAAGCATCTTAAGTATTCAGAGAGCTTCCCCTTCATGCCAGAGCCTATAAATTCTTAGCGCAAGGCCCAACCCCTCCTGTTGTGTGCTCCGCAAGCCCAGGATCATTAATCACTCTGCCGCCTGGCAGGCTCTTCCTGCCAGCAATGATTCCCTCTGACCCTCCTGTCCATCTCCCTCCCTCATCCCAGCCTCTGACAGAACAGAGCGAAGGCTCACATCTGTCAGAATGGGGTGGACAGAATCAATCATCAGGGTCATGAATCTCTTTCACTGCCCCTCCCTGCACCCCACCATTTCATCCAGATACTTCTCAAGAGCATGCCAGGATTTTTAATTTCTTTCTGGGGTTGGCCAAGGGGAAGTGTTGGCAATAAATGGGAAAGAATTTATGGGACAATGGCAACAATCATTGGAGAGCCCTGTAGAGCTTAGAAACACTGTGACATCTGGCTGCAGCAAGCACAAGGAAAACTTGTGGTGCAGACTCTCTGGGGGTCTGGGGACCCGAAGGTCTATGACCCACTGAGGGTTCTTGGCTTCATGTGGGGAAAAATTCAAAGACGAGCCAGCATAGAGTTCAAAGTGAAAGAGTTTATTAGTGAATTAGTGGGACAGAGAGTGACTACTCCACAGCAGAGCACCCCACCCTAGAGGAGCTTACTTTTTCCATTGAGTCTTATTTAATCAGGGGTAAGGCATTCAACAAGGGGGAGGGATATGCAGTATTTTGCTGGGAAAGGGGTAGAGACTTTTCTGAAGAGCCCCATTGGCCATGTTGGGTCCTTTTAGGGGATTTCCCTTTCCCACCATGGCAGTGTGGGGTGTGTCATTTAGTATGCTAATGTGTTACAATGAGGCTAGGGGTTACTCCAAGAGGAAATTAGTCACCATGTTGAATGGAGCTGGTCTTCTGCTGGTTGTAAGCCATACATTCATTGGGGGTTGGTTTTCCTAGCTCCTTAATAGTTCTTGTGGCCCTTACTGGTTATAGCTGTTTCGCCACATACCCTATCTCACCTGGACCCAGATTTCCACACAGAAAGAAATGGAATAGGAGTGCAAAGAAGGCAGACGATGATGTCTTGTTTGTGGGCCTCTTGCCCTTATTTTTGCTACAGTCTACTGCCTAATTTCTTCAAGGCCCAGATCATATGGGCACGAATGAATGGAGTGATTGGTGCCTTTGTAGGAGGCGAAATTGCAAAGTAGGCCACTCTTGTCTTCTTTCAGCCCCTGGCAGTATTAGCTCTTTGTGCTAAAAGGAGCAGACACCAGAGCCTTCCTTCCATTCCCAGGAAACCTGCTTTAACGGTGACCTGCTGGGAAACATGCTCCATCCTTTGTCATCTAAAACCTTCATGACTCAAACAACGGTTGGAATTGCAGGCCTGATAAGAAGGGAGGGTGTCCTAGGCAGGTGGGTAGAGAAGATATTTTTAGGCAACCAGAACCTGAGAGAACCCATCAAATCACAGGGGCCCGCCCACTCCACCTGTGTGTCAGCTTTAAATTTGGATTCCATTTTTTTGGTGGCACAAAAGATTCTGTGCCTCCTGCATGGGGAGGGCCCCTCCTCCCACTCTGCTGTCTCCAGTTATTCTGCCCTCCAGCATCCAGCTGGCTCCGAGTCAGCCTGGAGGAGAGCAGGCGGCCAGTCCAGCCTTGTCAGACTGGCCATCTGTCCCAGCCAAGGGTGAGGGTCCCTCCCGCCTGTCCCAAAGCTTCTCAGGGCTGCTGACGCAGCTGCTCCAGAAAGAAGATTTTAAAGTGTGCGTTCCCATGGGTGCCACTCATATAAGATTCAAATGCTGGGAAAGTCAGGCCAAATGCCCAGTTTCTGCATGGACTGTTTCATAACATGGGACCCAGTGCCGGGAAGTTGAAGTAAGGGAGAATGACTAGGGGTAGAATCGTCAAGACATATGGCTTCTGGCCCTGGTTCTGCTACTCATAACTGCATGACCTTGGAAATCATGCCCCTCTCTGGGCCTGTTTCCTCCTCTGTAAAATGAGAAAGTGGGACAAAATGTATCTAAGTTTCCTTTTAACTCTTTTTTCCTTTTATAGATCCAGTATCATCTAATAAGAGTAAATATCTGTATGGAGCATGTAGGCAAAATCTGTAATGAGTCAGCATAGAGTTTAATGAATGAATATTAAACTTTAACAGGAGGGTCAGGATTTGAAATTGTGACAAGTGTTTACATTTGAGGCCCATACTTTCCTTAATTTCATTAATGTTTTAGGCAGAAGTATTTTGTTGCATTTGGGAAAGGCAGGCTGGGGGAGACTGGTGGTGGCCTCATTTACTTTATTTGCTGATAGAGTCATAGTCAAAGCATTCAGGTTAACTTGAGTGTAGCTGTCATCCAAAGCACTTTATTATCTTTTGTCTGTTCTGAGGTGACTTTTGGATTCTGGAGGCTCTATTCCTATTCCACCTGTATCTGTTAGAACCCTTTTTATTGTAAGGGACATAAAACTCAACTCTAATGGACTACAGCCAAGCAAAAAAAAAAAAAAGTATTATCTCATATATCTGAACCATTGTCAATGAAATTCATTTCTTTCCCCTCCTCTCAGCTCTGCATCCTCTGTATTTTCTCATGTTAGGTAGGATTTCCCTTTGTGATCATAAGAGAAGATCCCAATACACTCAGAGTTACATACATTCATGTTGAATCTGAGCTGCAAACAACAGAAAATCTGACTCAAGTTAGCTTAACAATAAAGAAACTTTTCACCTCACATAAGAAGAAATCCAAAGACATGGCGAGGTCCAGATTGGATTCAACAGTGTCATCAAGGGCCCAAATTTTTTCTACTCCTTCATTTTCAATATCAATTATTTTCTCAGAAAGGCTCCCCTCATGGTGACATAGCATTGCCATATCTGGACATAGCAATGTGCAGGAAAAACTATGTCTTCCTCCAACTCTTTCTTCAGAAAAAAAAATATTTTCCAGAATCTCATATTTTATGGAACAGAATTGCCCCACTTGCCCCACCAATCACTGGCAAGTGGAATAAAATTACCATAGTCAGCTTAGACCAATGGTTTTCAACCAGGGAAGATGTCCTATAGGAGCCATTTGACAATATCTAAAGACATTTTTGGTTGTCACAAATGTAATGGGCAGTGCTACTGGTATCTAGTGGGCAGAGGACAGGGATGCTACTCAGCATTCTAGAGTGTGTGGGATAGTCCCTGACAACAAAAAACTATCTGGTCCAAAATGTCAGTAGTGCTGAGATTGAAAGTCCTTGCTTAGATAATCACTTAGGCTGATTAGTCGAAAATCAACCATAATGTCTTCTACAGTGTTCTACCTGGAACATAGCAATAGTCCTAGTAAGATCTCACTATATTTTATCGGTCTGACTGTATCACATATTCATCCCTGAACCAATTTCTATGTACAAGGGAATGAGAGATAATGAATGGTTTAAGCCTAAGTCACATGTTTCACCTCTGAGCCAGCAATGAGTTAACTTTACCCAAAGACATGAGCTGAGAGTAAGGAAGGAAAGGGTGATATCTCAGAGAGAATTGGGAATGATAATCAAAATGAGGGGAATTGATGCTGGGCAACAAAAACAGCAGATGCCCACCAAGAGACTGCAGAGGAAAAAAACTGTGTTGGTGCTTGGACTCAAAATATTAATAGCAGCAGCAGCAGTAGGAGGTCAACGGAACTGTCTAGGAACACCCTGGGCTGGCGCCTGTGAATTACTCATTCCACATGGTCATTCCTGTGGCTTTAATTACCTCTATGCAAGCAGCACTTTTCACCTAAGTAGATGCTCAGTCAACCTGGCAAAGTGAAATCAGAAGGTACAGAGAAAAGGTGGGAGGGAGGAAGGAGGTGTCAGCTAAGAAAGGTATTGAGAGTGAGCGAGCTGTGGTAGACAGGTGTTCCCAACCATGCCTGATTTTGTGCCCTGAGCTCAGTTCTTAGGACTG